TCAGATGCGAACAATTCAGTGACCACTGCTCACTTTCCCCCCACTTTTACTAACTCGCTCCTCTATGATGCCAACCCTAGTGCGGAACTATCAGTTGAACTAGCTAACCTTTTTAACTCAATATGCTCCAACATCCTTGACTCTGTTGCTCCACTAAGGACTAAATGCACCAAATCTTCACGTCAACCATGGCTGAATGAAACCACCCGCACTCTCAGACGCGAATGTCAACGTGCAGAGAGAAAATGGAAAAAGGAGAAACTCCAGGTGTCTTTGGGCATCCTGCATGACCGCTTAACAAATAATCAGAAAACTATTAAAGCTGCAAAATCTGCTTTCCTATCCGGTGTAATTTCTACCAACAATCACAAGGCCCGAGTTCTTTTTAATATTTTTAATTCTGTGATTAACCCCTGTGCCAATGTTCCTAGTGAGGCTTCCTTTGCACTGTGTGAAAACTTTTTAAAACACTTCATTGAAAAAATTTAAGGTCTCCAAATTCACAGCAGTGTTCGACCTACATCCACCCTCTAAATGCTCAGCTGTTTTTCAGCAGTTCGAGCCTGTGACATTTTCTGCCTTAAAGGAAGTAATTGATCGCTTAAGACTGTCTAATTCCCCTCAGGATATTCTTCCTTCTTGCCTTTTCAAGGAAGCTCTTCACATTATTGGGCCTAGTATTTTATTTTTATTAAATGCTTCCTTGTCATCAGGTTGTGTACCAGCTGTTTTCAAACATGCTGTTGTGCAAACCAAAAAATCTGGATGTCCACAATTTTGGAAAAAGTTGTTTTCAAGCAACTTCAGATCTTTTTAGACACTCGTGGCATATGTGTAGAGTTGCAGTCTGGTTTTAAGTCGCGTCACAGTACTGAGACGGCGCTTTTAAGAGTTTTTAATGATCTTCTTTTAACCGTCGACTCAGGTTGTTCTGTGGTTTTAGTCCTTTTAGATTTGACACAGTTGATAACAACATTCTTTTATCAAGACTTGAACACGTTGTTGGTCTTAAAGGCTCAGTTTTTTCATGGTTTAAATCATATTTATTAGAGAGGTCTGTAAGAGCCAATTAAATGTTAATTTTATTGGTACTGGTAAAATGATTAGAGGAGAAATATACATGTTTGATGTTAAGAATATAATTTCTAGTTAATTTCAAAATACTGTTTTGTTAAAGGTATAGAATATAGAAGTGCGACATTCTAATGCACTTTTTAGTATTTTGGGCTTCCGGCACACTGTAATTACATAGTTGGGGAGTCGGATAAGCTGGAAGCAAAACAGTTTTTTGACCGAGTCTTGCCATGTAAATTAAAAATTTCAATAAACATCTTTTTTGCAAGAAAAGTACCTGGACTTGCTCGCGTTTCAAATGCATGTTGCCGGACTGACTCCTAAAGGTGGTAAAGAAGAGTGAAATAGAGACGGAGTGCCGCCACTACAAGGTCTTTTTCTGTTACTATTGGCCAATAACTCCTCTTCCTCTGCCCCGATGTGTTGTGGTGTGCCACAGGGGTCTGTTTGGGTCCAACTCTGTTCTCCTTATACATGCTACCTTTGGGATCTATTTTTAGGAAATACAACATCTCCTTTCATTGTTTCCTCCAAGAGACCTAGAAACACTTATTCAGGCTTTCATCACCTCTACTCACCACTACTGCAACTCTCTATTTGGGTCTTCACACTCATCTATCTCTCCATCGCTTGCAGTTAGTCCAAAATGCTGCTGCATGGGTGTTAGAATGTATGAACACATCACTCCAGTTTTAGCCAATTTGCACTGGCTCCCTGTCAAATATCATATTAATTTTAGATTAATTCATTTACTTTTAAAGTTTTAAACAATGTGGCGCCCAGTTATTTAAGCAAACTCCTCAACATGTATGACCCCAAAAGAGCACTGAGATCATCTAACCAGATGCTCTTAGCACAACCGAGGTCGCGATTGAAGCATAGAATTGAATATATGAACATGCATATACTAATGTGGCTGAGTGGGCGCTCTGGTATATTCTCGCCACCACATTTCTTTTTGATGGGTATTGTAATCACCATGTTCCTATAGGTGAAAGGGGTTGGAATTATTTTCTCAGACCTTTATATACACTATGATGGTGTTTCCGTTATGTGGCAGATTAAATGTATGCATTGATTTTCAGGTGATACAGACTATGGCCTGTGTAAGCAACATTGAAACGTTTAATGGTTTGTCAGTAAATTTTGTGAGCTGGAATGTTAAGTCCATCAACCAACCAGTGAAATTTAAAAAAGTGATCACAGATCTGAAACAGCTGAGAGTAGACATTCAACTTTCCAGGAGACCCAGATATGTCCGCCTACATGTAGGCAAGTATTCCAGTCCAGTTATTGGTACAGAGGAAGAGGGTTTGCTATCATGATTAGTAACAATATAGAGTTCGGTGTCTAGTGTACAGGCCGATTCAGCTGAGCGATGTGTGTTTGCTGCTGGAAAACTATATTTGTTCCAGTGATATTAGCATGCTTCTATGCACCTAATTGGGATGATCTTGCATTTTCCAACAATTTTTTCTCTTGTCTGCCAAATCTGTCAACCATTAATCTTATAAATGTGGTGATGCAAATTGTTTTTACTCATCTTTGATCAGAGTGCTCTCGGGAGGGCATCCCTGTCAAAATCCACACAAGCCATTCATTTATATCTTGAAACATAAGGAGTGGCCGGTGTGTGGCATTTCCGTAACATCTTCAAGAGCACACTCGTTCATCTCCCCAGTCCAAATAACACATTCACATATTATTTTTTTCTAGACAAAAGAATTCTAGATTAGCCTAAGGAGCTTGGAAAGGAAAGGCATTTGGACTTCTTTAAGTTGCTTGAAGATGTTTCAACTCTCAACGGAGAAGCTTCTTCAGTTCTAAGGTCAAATGGTGGTCCATTAGGGCAGCGGTCCCCAACCCCCGGGCCTCGGACCGGTACCGGTCCGTGAGTCGTTTGGTACCGGGCCGCGAGAGTTGAGGCTCAGGTGTGAAATGTATAGTTTTCAGGGTTTTTATTGGTTTTCAGCGTTATCTTGTTATCGTTTTTATCAATAACTCGGTTTTCCTGGTCTTTTCACGTGTGTTATGAATAAATCGTCTTTTTTTCGGTACCGGTACTAGTTTTATTTTGTTGTATTTATCCGCGACACCTTAAAGGCCGGTCCGTGAAAATATTGTCGGGCATAAACCGGTCCGTGGCACAAAAAAGGTTGGAGACCGCTGCATTAGGGGGTCTATTTTCCCTCTTGGGGGGGACGACACTCCCATAAGGCTTAAATCTGCTGGGAGGAGGAAAAAAAAAAAAACAGGAGTCGGCGAAGATGTAATAAAAGGAGTACAAATAGAAATGCATAATGTATCCCCAACTGCTGCACCTGTGGGGAAAATAACCATACAGTACCTGCAACACAAAAATTTGAAAATGGACATATACATAAATCAACAATCTTGTTGTGGGGTGTGTGAGGGACAGACGGACCCCTGCTGCCAGACCTCTGCAGTCCCAGAGACAACCTGCATCCACCTGCAAGGCATACAGGGAAAGGAGACTATAGCCAAGCACTTACACCAACTAATGGAATAGATCAGTGGGGACCAGAGAGGAACAAATTAATCCAGTAGGTTTTCTGAGGAGGCAGACAAGTACATTTTTATGTTAATACATCAACAGTTTTTTGATTTCCAGTTCATGAGGATAGTTTTCTTAGCGATGCATAATGAAGTAAAGCTACTATATACCCATTCCCTGAAGACCCAGCCCCCAGTGCTCAGGAGAGGCGCAGGTCACACTTAATGACAGCCCAGTAATGCATTATATATAATAACCATCAGCACTTGTTCGGTCTCCTTTTTATTGCGAACCCAACCAAGCTACAGAATCGGCACAAAGCAGCGTCAGTATAACGCACTCTCTGGTTCCCCTGCATGCGGCCGCCTTTAGCATATCAATGCAAAGTTTTCAACCAATCAGCTGCTGTTAAGTCGGGTCCAATCAGATAACAGATGCTTGAGTTGTGGCTCGGGTCTGTCCACCTGCTAGTCTTTGTGAAAAGATACAGCAATTTGAAAGCTGCATGTTCACACTGACACAATACATTTAGCTTCTGTGAACATTTAGAGTCAGCACTATCATCCAGCAGTCTACAATTCCACACTAACAGATTTATCTCCCATGGATGTTTATGGTGTGTGCAAAGGAAGGAAATAATGTGTATTTTTTTTCTATAAAAAAAAACAAAGAAATCCAAATGTTTTTCCTGGACTTGGTGATAAAGCCAGACTGTGACAGAGAGCAGAAAAGAGTTTTGCCAGATAAACTGATCAGCTGACTAACTGTGGAGACCACTATCTTAACTTTTTTCAAGCAGCTCAAATGTGGAACTCGCACCAACAAACAGTTACTGTAGGTCTGGTTAAGATACTGTGGTGTGAGCAGCATGCAGAGACAAAAATGAACACTGTGCTTTCTCAACATTTGGTTTTTATTTACTTAAAATAGTCTCAGTTGTTTGTCAAACATTTTTTATCAAAACCTTTTTCTCAGAAATGTGTGTCAAAGCTGGTCTCTCCTCGCTGCACCGAAAATCCAGTGTGATGCTACAATTCCTCGTTAGCACGGCTGCTGTCTTCACAGTAGTCTGAAAGGAAAAGCATGACGACAAACACATCAGTGTTTATGTTCCACAACCCGAAAATGTGCCACCATCTAAAGACACAAATAGCTAACACTGACCTACACTGAGGCTACTGAGCTGTGCTGACACTGGCCTCTGCTGTTACTGAATGCTGTGGACGCCAAACCCGAGCAGCTTCCACAGCTGTGTGTGTGTGTGTGTGTGTGTGTGTGTGTGTGTGTGTGTGTG